TCTATCAAAATACCGACTTCGCAAGACGAACCGAACTCATTCCGACAGATGTGACACTCGTCACACAGATAGAGGCGCGCCCATGCTAATCATTGCCTAAAAAAGTTCTCCTACGTCATCGCCGCCCCTAAAACGTCAAATCTTCATTAAAACGGGAATGATTTGTCTAGGGATGTGTGCCAGACATACCTATAAATAGCAGTTCCAAAAACGAGAGAAGGGTTCGAAAAACGATCATATACACTCATATATTCAGCTCGGCTATCTCATTGTAAACCGACTTGAAATACATTGAAAAACCGACCTCCCTGTACTAAAACCGACTTCAAAATATTCAATAAAATTCTCATTTTCTGCGATCTTTTGTGTTAATTTTACATTGTTAACGTTGATTAAATCCGTTTATCAACACAACCATTTTTTTTAACTCAACTTTAACTCAACCCTTCTATAATCAATATTATCAATATAATTAAATAATATCAATCAATCATTCTTACACACAACATCAACTTTAATTCACTATTCATCAACTCACATAATTTTAACTAACCATCACATCACATCTTTTCTCTCCTACTTTTACATCATTTAATTTTGATCATTTTATTTTAAATATTATTTTAACATACCCACTAACAACTAACCATACCAAATTTTTTCAAATTTAATCAACCCAAACCAAAAATTCAATCAAAACAAAAAAATTTATATCCAATCATGCTCAGTGTTTATTATTTTTTAAAATTTATAGCCCGGCTTGTTGAGAGTCGAGTTTGACTCGTCAAATCTCAAGTTCGACTTGTTAACATTGGTAATAGAACCGAACTAAAGTTTGTTTAGCGACTCATTTAGTTAACGAGCCCAGCTCAGCACAACTCGGCCCAACTCATTGCGTGTCGAGTTTGACTCGTTCAAGGCTCAAATTCGACTCTTTAACATTGATAACAGAGGAGCTGAGGTCGAGCTTGTTTATCGACGCATTTAGTTAACGTGCCCAACTCAGTTGGGCTCGACTCATTTATACATTACTCAGTTGGGCCGACTCGTTTGTACATTAAATCAGACAAGCAAATTAAAGCCTTTCATTAGATTTTCATACGAAAGTGATGAACCAAATTTTAAGTGATCTTAAAAGTTGAATTAGTTCCCTCAAGAATTAATCTAAGTATTGGTCCATTCAGTTTCCCCTTACACATAACAAGCAAAATTTTCAGAATCGAACCACAATGATATATTGAAGCAAATGACTGAAACAATAAATTGAATAAATCTGTAGTCAAAATGTAGGTATATCTG